TAGGGTAACAAGGGAAACGTGTTCAGTGCAGATCAGTGAGTAAGCACAAGCCCGCCTTGTTTCAGTGCCTATGCTATCATATTAGTAGGTTCTTAAAATATTCATTTTCTTTTCATGTCATATTATATTTTGAAACTCTCTACCTTCTCTCACAATGACTGTGAAGACTCTGGGGGTTAATATTGATCATGCACATGAGGCGAAGAGAAAGACCAACTTTTTTGCCATATGCTAGCTCTTTTACCTGCTTTGAGATCTCTAACTCTTGGGAGGAGATACATCGAACAAAACGAAAATTAATGAGAATGATTTTTGCTTGATGAGTTGCCAATTAATGACAGCTTCCAATGGTTATTTCTGCTGTATTTCAGAGATACCACTGCCAAAAACAAGTAATTAGGAATATATTTACTGGTAGCTCCTGCCAATGTAAGGGCTTTTATTTGGTTCCAGAAATATATTTGGTTATATATTTTCAACAAGTAAGCCAAAACAATATTGAACCAAACATTCAGGTTTAGTGGTGGTGATAAAGCTCAAATGGTTATCTCATAACTTTGAAAAAATAAGATCAACTATAACTAGTTTCTGCTGAGTCAGTCCCTACTTACAGGGACCCCACGTGTGTTACATTATAAGTGTAGTGTTTTCAAGGGCTGATTTTTTAGAAGTAGATTGCCAGGACTTTCTTCCAAGGTACCTCTGAATCTTTGGTTAGTAGTTGAGATGTTTGTACCACCCAGGGACTACTCCAATATCAACTATAATAGTCACCAGTTAAGGGTCTTTTAAAATTATACATATATATATATATATATATATATATTCTGAACAGACTAATACATGGAGAACATAATTCAGTAATCTAAAGTGCAAATATTGAATCGTGTCTTGTAGAAGATATGAAAAATAACATTAGGAGGGACAGAGTGGTCTCATGTACACATTAGAAATCCAGTCTAATCAAGAGCCACTCCAGCTTAAATGAACAAAAATAACAACTATTCTGTGGATGATTAGATATGATCTAGTTGATTTGTCTTGAAAGCTACACATAGAAGATAAGAAAGTAATTTCCTAAATCAACCTATTCTTGCATTTATATAAATATTTAATTTTTTTTGTTGGAATTTTCAAATAAATGATTGGCTAATATTTCTTCACTTATGTGTTAATGATGTGCAATGATTTGCTCCAAATGGTATTTCATTGTTTTCTTTGTTCAAATTGAGCTCAACACATAGCAACACTTACTAAGTATTCTTACATGTCAAAGCATTGCATTACACAACAAGCTTCATGTCCAGCATGAAGATACCAGAGGGGAAAAAAAAAAACTGAGATTAAAAAAGGCTGTTATCATAAAAAAAAAAAAAAAAAAAAAAGTTATTATAAAGGTGTTATCAGCTCTCACAGGCAAAACAAAACAAAAAGGCAATGAAAGGAGCTAATTTAACAAAAAGCAATAAAACAAAAGTGTGTGACTAGCACAGTATCATTAAGGGAAAGGAAGACATGGAGATGTGCACAAGAGGGATAGAAAATAAAAGCAAATATTATCGCATATACAATACTGCATTCTCACTAACAGCAAATACTACTTTACAAGTGGATACATATATAGACACGCAAGAAGATCAGGTGTGTATGGATAGGGGAAAGGAAACATAATCATGGCCATACATCGATTTGGCAAATGGTATTCCTAGACATGTATTTGTATGTGTTATAAAAACATCCATATGTAGTTTAAACCTACCAGGAGGCAACGTTAGGATAACTTTTTAGCTACAAATAAACACCTTGAGGGAGGGAGTCACTGGGGCTGTGAGCTGGGAACCATGGTCATGGAGGACATCAAGCTCAATTGGTACAACAAGGTATATAAAAATATTGTTCTACATTTCCACTTCACCAAACATGATATCCTTCTCCAGGGACTGGTCCCTTCTGACCACATGACCAAAGTAGGTGAGATGAAGTCTGACCATTCTCATTTCTAAGTAGAATTCTAGCTGCACTTCTTCCAGGATAGATTTGTTCATTCTTCTGGCAGTCCATGGTATTTTCAGTATTCTTCATCAACACCTGAATTCAAAGGCATCAATTCTTCTTTGGTCTTCCTTATTCAATGTCCAGCTTTCACATGCGAATGAGGCAACTGAAAATACCAGGCATTAGATTGTTGTTGTTGTTGTGTACCCTCCAGTGGGACCTGACTCATAGCGACCCCTCTTTGGGTTTCTGAGGCAGTATCACTGTAGAAGTAGACTGCCCAACCTTCCTTCCGAGGAGTGGCTGGTGGGTTTGAATGACCAGCCTTCTGTTAGCAGTCAAGTGCCTTAGGCACTACACTACCAGAGTTTCCATTAGATTACACAAGATGAAATCCAGGTGACATCAACATGCTAATCTGAATCTATCAGATTGTTCTCTCATCACATTATAACCTCACTGCTTTTGAAGTTTCAGGACACTGCTAAAACAAGTTGTTCTTGTGTGCCCTTGAGTTTGTGACTCATAGGATAGATTAGAATGGCCCCATATGGTTTCTTAGACTGTAACCTGAGAAACCCTTTTTTGTTCATAAAAATTCTAGAAAAGTGCCCAAATATGTCAAAATTGCTAAGTATGTGATTTCTAATATCCATAATTCTCAGACAATCACTTCTCTTTAAAAATCAAGTCACTCTTAAAAATAAAAGTACATTACATAAAAGTATTAAAACAATGAAACAACACTTTATAATTCTTTCTAATTTGCAAGTGTTTTATGGGGGATATTTTATGATAAAGTGTCATAATTTTTTATTTATTTTTCCTCTCCTTGAGCCTTTAGTGAGGGAGTGGATACTGGACAACCTAAGC